AGTCAACAGGTAGCCTACTATTTCCTGGACCAGAGAACTCCTTCCTGTAGCTGGCCATCTATCTATTACATTTTAGTTATATTCTGCCTCATTAGGGCATAGCATTACGCATTTCAGTCTGACCCCAAAACTTAGCCTCTCTGGGGTCCTTGCCACAGATGACACATGAAAAAGCCTATGTCTCGCCCCTGCATCCACAGCCAATGACCACCATGTATAGGTAAAAGGTCAACTAGATTATGAAATATGTCGGCCAACACAGGTGTAAGAGTGAGAATACCAACATAGTTTTGTCAACCTGGAACAGAAGAGAGCTTCAAGTTCCTTGGTGTCCACATCACCAACAAACTATCATGGTCCAAACACACCAAGACCATCGTGAAGAGGGCATGACAAAGCCTATTTCCCCCCAAGGAGACTGAAAAGATTTGGAATGGGTCCTCAGATCCTCAAAAGGTTCTACAGCTGCACCATCGAGAGCATCCTGACTGGTTGCATCACCGCCTGGTATGGCAACTGCTCGGTCTCCGACTGCAAGCCCAGTACATCACTGGAGCCAAGCTTTCTGCCATCCAGGACCTCTATACCAGGCGGTGTCAGAGGAAGGCCCTAAAAATGATAAAAGACTCCAGCCACCCTAGTCATAGACTGTTCTCTCTGCTACCGCATGGCAAGCGGTACCGGAGCGCCAAGTCTAGGTCCAAAAGGCTTCTTAGCAGCTTTTACCCCCAAGCCATAAGACTCCTGAACAGCTAATCATGGCTACTGTCACGATCGTCGGATACAGAGGACCAAGGCGCAGCGTGGAAGGTGAACATACTTATTTATTAAATGATTACACGAACAAAACAACAAATCGATACGTGACGTCCAAAGGTGCAAAACACAAACCTACACAGGAACAAGATCCCACAAACACTGTTTGAAAACAGCCTGTCTAAATATGGTTCCCAATCAGAGACAACCAGCAACAGCTGACACTCGTTGCCTCTGATTGAGAACCACTCTGGCCAACATAGATATACATGAACTAGAATAAACAAAGAACACTCACACCCTGGCTCAACATACAAGCGTCCCCAGAGCCAGGGCGTGACAGCTACCCGGACTATGTGCACCTTTTACACTGTTGCTACTCTGTTTAGTATCTATGCATAGTCACTTTAACTCTACCCACATGTACATATTACCTCAATTATCTCGACTAACCGTTGCCCCCGCACATTGACTCTGTACCGGTACCCCCTGTATATAGCCTCCCTACTGTTATTTTATTTTACTGCTGCTCTTTAATGATTATTAATTTTTTCAATTTTTTACTTAACACTTTTTTTCTTAAAACTGTATTGTTGGTTAAGGGCTTGTAAGTAAGCATTTCAATGTAAGGTCTACACCTGTTGAATTCAGCGCATGTGGCAAATACATTTTGATTTGATTTGATTTGAAGAGGAAATCATAGCCTATTAGGTGACATTTTGGCCTTTTGGTAAATTCTATAACCCCCTTCATGAAAGGTGTTTGTACTTAAAATATGGTCTCCACCTCTGAGGACACTACTCTCTTAGAAAAAAGGTGCTATTTAGAACCTAAAATGGTTATTCGGCTGTCCCCATAGGAGAACACTTTGAAGAACCCTTTTTGGTTCCAGGTAGAATGCTTTTGGTTCCAGGTAGAACCTTTCCACAAAGGGTTCTAACTGGAACCCAAAAGGGTTCTACCTGGAAACAAAAAGGGTTCTCCTATGGGGACGGCCAAAGAACCCTTTTGGAACCCTTTTTTCTAAGAATGTAGAAACATACCTGAGGCTTAGGAATGCACCTTTACCGTGGAACCTGTTCACCCATTTATTTACATAAAAAGATAGACTCATCCCATCACCCCGCTCTTTACAAACAGGGAATGATAATCCTGGTTCCCTGCATTGAGGCGCAGTGTGAATATGGGACTGTGTGTATTTTAGAGAGATTTTGTGTGTGTATTTATTTTATTTTTATTTTATATTTTTATTTCACCTTTATTTAACCAGGTAAGCCAGTTGAGAACAAGTTCTCATTTACAGCTGCGACCTGGCCAAGATAAAGCAAAGCAGTGCGATAAAAACAACAACACAGAGTTACAAATGGGATAAACAAAACGTACAGTCAATAACACAATAGAAAAATCTATATACAGTGTGTGCAAATGTAGTAAGTTATGGAGGTAAGGCAATAAATAGGCCATAGTGCAAAATAATTACAATTTAGTATTAACACTGGAATGATAGATAGAGATACTGGGGTGCAAATAAGCAAAATAAATAACAATATGGGGATGAGGTAAGTGTTCGGGCTAATTACAGATGGGCTGTGTACAGGTGCAGTGATCGGTAAGCTGCTCTGACAACTGATGCTTAAAGTTAGTGACGGAGATAAGAGTCTTCAGCTTCCGAGATTTTTGCAGTTCGTTCCAGTCATTGGCAGCAGAGAACTGGAAGGAATGGCGGCCAAAGGAGGTGTTGGCTTTGGGGATGACCAGTGAGATATACCTGCTGGAGCGCATACTACGGGTGGGTGTTGCTATGGTGACCAATGAGCTAAGATAAGGCGGGGATTTGCCTAGCAGTGATTTATAGATGACCTGGAGCCAGTGGGTTTGGCGACAAATATGTAGTGAGGGCCAGCCACCGAGAGCGTACAGGTCACAATGGTGGGTAGTATATGGGGCTTTGGTGACATAACGGATGGCACTGTGATAGACTACATCCAATTTGCTGAGTAGAGTGTTGGAGGCTATTTTGTAAATGACATCGCCGAAGTCAAGGATTGGTAGGATAGTCCGTTTTACGAGGGCATGTTTGGCAGCATGAGTGAAGGAGGCTTTGTTGCGAAATAGGAAGCCGATTCTAGATTTAACTTTGGATTGGAGATGCTTAATGTGAGTCTGGAAGGAGAGTTTACGGTCTAACCAGACACCTAGGTATTTGTAGTTGTCCACATATTCTAAGTCAGACCCGACGAGAGTAGTGATTCTAGTCGGGCGGGCGGGTGCAAGCAGTGTTCGATTGAAGAGCATGCATTTAGTTTTACTAGCGTTTAAGAGCAGTTGAAGGCTACGGAAGGAGTGTTGTATGGCATTGAAGCTCGTTTGGAGGTTTGTTAACACAGTGTCCAATGAAGGGCCAGATGTATACAAAACGGTGTCGTCCGCATAGAGGTGGATCTGAGAGTCACCAGCAGCATGAGCGACATCATTAATATACACAGAGAATAGAGTCGTCCCGAGAATTGAACCCTGTGGCACCCCAATAGAGACTGCCAGAGGTCCAGACAACAGGCCCTCCGATTTGACACATTGAACTCTATCTGAGAAGTAGTTGGTGAACCAGGCGAGGCAGTCATTTGAGAAACCAAGGCTATTTAATCTGCCAATAAGAATGCGGTGGTTGACAGAGTCGAAAGCCTTGGCCAGGTCGATGAAAACGGCTGCACAGTACTGTGTTTTATCGATCGCGGTTATAATATCTTTTAGGACCTTGAGCGTGGCTGAGGTGCACCCATGACCAGCTCGGAAACCAGATTGCATAGCGGAGAAGGTACGGTGGGATTCGAAATGGTCGGTGATCTGTTTGTTAACTTGGCTTTCAAATACTTTCGAAAGGCAGGGCAGGATGGATATAGATCTGTAACAGTTTGGATCTAGAGTGTCACCCCCTTTGAAGAGGGGGATGACCGCGGCAGCTTTCCAATCTCTGGGGATCTCAGACGATACGAAAGAGAGGTTGAACAGGCTAGTAATAGGGGTTGCAACAATTTCGGCGGCTAATTTTAGAAAGAAAGGGTCCAGATTGTCTAGCCCAGCTGATTTTGTAGGGGTCCAGATTTTGCAGCTCTTTCAGAACATCAGCTATCTGAATTTGGGTGAAGGAGAAGCGGAGGGGGCATGGGCAGGTTGCAGCGGAGGGTGCAGAGCTGGTGGCCGGGGTAAGGGAAGCCAGGTGGAAAGCATGGCCAGCCGTAGCAAAATGCTTATTGAAATTCTCGATTATCGTAGATTTATCGGTGGTGACAGTGTTTCCTAGCCTCAGTGCAGTGGGCAGCTGGGAGGAGGTGCTCTTATTCTCCATGGACTTTACAGTGCCTCAAAACTTTTTGGAGTTAGTGCTACAGGATGCAAATTTCTGTTTGAAAAAGCTATCATTTGCTTTCCTAACTGATTGTGCAAATTGGTTCCTGACTTCCCTGAAAAGTTGCATATCTCGGGGGGCTGTTCGATGCTAATGCAGTACGCCACAGGTGTGTGGACATACGTTGGTGCAGGAAAGAGGTGTGAGTAACTGCTGAGACACATTCCAATAGATTGTAGATTAAGTAAATTACTCCACCTCTCCCACGGGCAAATCCTGTTTTATGAATAGTAGGGGGGCTGGACTGTTCATGTGGATTTTGAAACAGGACACAGTTCCTACACTAGGAAAATATACTGCACCTTTGGTTAACACAACAGATCTGGTAAAATATACAAGGCACACAGGAAAGCCATCTGCATGTTTCCTTATTGATGTTGTGCTGCCTGGATGTAATATTGAAATGAATGGGGCCAGATCGGTATTTGGGATTGGTGTACTTTCTGGAGACATGCACTGCCCTCTATGTGCACAGCATGAAACTGCAACTGATAAGTATTTTGACCAGCAGAGGGCACAAACGTTTTGCTCCGTTTGGGGATCCACAGAGAGAAACAGACGGGGTTTGCCTGTTGTCTTTCCCTTTTCAAAGGGACCAGCCACCCATGTCTGAGCAGGCAGTGTACTTGTTAACAGACTCACAGACCCGCCTATGGGACTGCAGCCACAGGACGCAGAGAGAGGCAAGTTCCCCAAGCTTCAGCATCCCACCACAGATTGGCACCGTCTTCTTCTCTCCTAAATGAACTTCTGCTGAGGGGCCTCATTTTGACAACGTCTCCTACAGTGATCAAAGTTTTGGAATTTAAAAGAAAAGCTACTTTTCAGGCTCTCAAAAATGATTCCCTCTATTTCACTGGTGGTACTATTGACTGTGTGGGCTTCCGATGCGAAACAAATTCCACAGACAAACAGTGCATCTCTTGAAAAGGATATGTTAAATCTCAACATTCAAGTCATTCAAAGCCATGGTTATGGTGATGAGGATGGAAAACGACTGGAATGGGACAAGCAGCACAAGAGAGTACCGCGGGGTGCAGAGGACGAGGACACAGACGCAGGTGAACCTCAGTCTACCTTCTCACGGTCTTATGAGAATGAGTTCACCACACCCAGAGCTACCCAGTTCTCTAGCTCAACCCTGGACACTGAGGCCAACACAGACTCAACCCTGGACACTGAGGCCAACACAGACTCAACCCTGTACACTGGGGCTAACACATACTCAACCCTGGACACTGGGGCCAACACAGACTCAACCCTGGACACTGGGGCCAACACAGACTCAACCCTGGACACAAGGGCCACTGGGGCCACCACAGTCGGGGACCAGGGCAACAGCAGCACCTCAGAGAGGGGGATCACCAACATCCACAACCCTCTGTACCCGGTGACTGACAGCTCCTACACTGCCTACGCTGTCATGTTCCTGTCCCTGGTGGTGTTCTCTGTGGGGATTATAGGGAACCTGGCTGTGATGTGCATCGTCTGGCACAACTACTACATGAGGAGTACCTGGAACTACATCCTGGCCAGCTTGGCTTTCTGGGACTTCCTGGTGCTCTGCTTCTGTTTACCTGTGGTGGTCTTCAATGAGCTCACCAATAAGAGGCTGCTGGGGGACATCTCATGCAGACTGGTGCCATATATGGAGGTGGGTTTGATTCCCTTAGCCCCCCCACCACCACCACAAACCTCCCCACACACCCCTCAACCCAAACCCCTTATGCCATGGTGGAATCACATGAAAATGATTAATGAACACAACTATTTGTACATGGCTATATGATTATTGGTCCCTAATGACAAGTTTAGTACCTGTTGTTGCCTAAAACAATCATACATTTATTTTTGTTGTTCTTTTGATGATATAATTATTGGATATTTACACTGATTTATTACTTTGTTGCAAACCAGCCCGTGAAAGAAGGTTATGGGTTGAATTATGTTTATGGTCCACATAGTATTGTGAAATGTTGTAAATGTTTAATACTTTTACCAATTGAATCTGTACAGTACATTATTTTCTGGTAAACCAAAGTTTATTAACTGATTACTGTCTGGTAATAAACAAAACATTACACAGTTGTATGTAAGCCATATATTATATGTACTATTTTGATGTTATATATATAGATACTCCAAATTAAACTCATCATTGTATATCTCGACAGCTAATGTAACAGGTCGGAAAGACTTCTTCCATATTGTAATTTAAATTACAAGTAAAATGCCCTCCGACTATAAAATCATGTTTTACCACAGGGGCCACATTCGGTCATCAACAACGTCCAGAGGGCACCATTGAACATTTGTTATATTTCCACGCAGTCAAAAAAATGTATACAAAATTGTCCTCTGGCCATCACTTTGGGAATTTCTGATGCTCCCTGACTGTCTAGCTTTCATTTCTGTGGCTATTAGCGAGCTAGACACAGTCAATGAACTATATGAATGTAGGTCCATAATCATTTCTACACAGTTTCGATTTGGTTTTAGTCATTTTCAAGGATATTGAGTTGCCCCCCCCCCCCCCCCCCCCCCCCCCCCTAAACAGTGTGTGCAGGATGTGAAAAGTCAAGTTTTTGCTAATTCCACCCACATTTGTAGATTGAAAGATTACAACAGTCATAGAAAAACACAGATAAGCAGAAAGAACAGCCCATCATGAAAGATCTAGCATATCTGACAAGTTCTTCCTCTTTGCTCCATATAACTCTCCAGGTGACCTCCCTAGGGGTGACATCCTTCAGCCTGTGTGCCCTGGGTATTGACCGCTTCAATGCTACCACCTGCTCCCAGCCCAGAATTCGGCGGGTGGAGCGCTGCCAGTCTATCCTGGCCAAGCTGCTGGTCATATGGGTGGGCTCCATGGTGCTGGCGACCCCAGAGCTGCTGTTGTGGCAGCTCAGCCAGGCCGTGTCTCCAGCCACGGGGGCCGTGGTGGACTCCTGCACCATGAACCCTACCTCCAACCTCCCCGAGTCCATGTACACCCTTGTCATTAACTACCATGAGTGCCGCATGTGGTGGTACTTTGGCTGCTACTTCTGCCTGCCTGTGGTCTTCACCCTGTTGTGCCAGCTGGCCACCTGCCACGTGTCCAATGATGGTATCCCCCAGCGCCTGGAAGAGCACTCCCCATCCAAGAAGCAGAAGACACAACACAGCCAACAGGTGGAGCGCCAGCTCAACTACACCGTGATGGCCCTGGCCGTGGTCTACGGCATCTGCGCCCTGCCGGAGAACGTGTGCAACATCGTCCTGGCCTACACTGCCATGCCCATCTCTGACAACACTGCCACCCTGCTGGCTCTCATCAACCAGTTCTCCCTGTTCTTCAAGTCGTCGGTGACGCCTGTGCTGCTGCTGTGCCTCTGTAAGTCCCTGGGTCAGGCTTTCATGGACTGTTGCTGCTGCTGCTGCTGTGAGGAGTGCCAACCCAGTGGCTCCCATTCCCCTGGCACCGAGGCCAAACTCAAGAGCACCAACGAGATGTCCTCCTCCATCTTCTTTGACAAAGCCAAGGACAGCTCCACCATCCTGTCGATCAGCGGGTCCAGCTGAGCTGGCCTCTCCTGCCAACCTTTCTTTCCCTCAGATCACCTGACCTGGTTAGACGTGGTAACGAAGCAACTCACCTTTCAGCAGTGGACATTCAAACCTCAACCTCACCCCCCTTTCCTCCTACCACACAGGGATCAGATGCTGAATCTCTCCATGGACACACCTTTGTTTTCAGTATTGTTAGTCAGAAGATAGGGACCATTGCCAGCGTCACCTTCTCTACCCTTAATGTCAGTAATGTCTCTCCTTCTGATGTTCTCTCCAAATAGAAACCACAACCCATCCAGTTTTAAGGTGGTTCATTTTACAGGAAGTTCAGACTAAATGCAGACTAGAGAGAAGAAGGAGAGAGCTCCATTTAATATCCTTGTAGAAGTGTCACCCCAATCATTTGTATTCAAAAATAAACTGAGTCTTATGTTAGATTATTATGCTAGGTTTGACTAACAACCCCAGAGTATCCAGCACTGAGATCATTCTTTTGTTGATGTCGCAGCCTATTAACATATCTGTTAAACGATGTGTGTTGGCTCTTTAGCCTACACAGACAAGTGTGCCTTTCTTTATGCCCCCCAATTAGTGATGCAGCTACTTCATCTTTAGCCATCCCCGTGTCATTGTATCAATTATTGTTTTGAGTTATATTAATAATCAAGAGGTTTAGACATGGTAATTTCCATCAAATCAAAGTTCTGTGAATAATGCAACATTATTTTACTAGATAACCATGAGAAGTCACTGTACAGAAGTCAAGGTTATAAACCGGTTAGAAGGAGGTTAGGAGGGAAGTCAGACAGAATTTTGTGATTAAGAGAAAAAAAGTTCTGAGACCTAAATCCACCAGCTGTAGTTGTCTTTAATTTATCCAATAAAGGTTTGTAATTTATCAGCGCTTGTCATGTTTCTCGCAAAAAGATTTAATAAACGTTAGTAAAAAAAAAAAGCGTAACTGATTACTAAACCAGATGAAGGGATTTGGGGTGATTTGTGCTTGACGGCGCATCCCATTGACCTTCTGAAACTTAATAATGGGGTCCTCCCTCTGAGCTGGAGCATATTTTTCTCTCACTGATTCAGGCTTTGGACAGCAGCAGAGCTACTCTCATAAGGGTATTATTGTTCACCAGAGGCCAGTGGAAGCCTCCACTCTGAGGCCCTGGGAGTGGAACTACAGTTGAGTTGCCAGGTTACCGTCCCAAAATTCACGGGTATTGCAGACGGGCCAAAGCCTGGGCAGGCCTTCCACCGTTTTTTCACCCTGTCTGGTTCCCCTGGTAACAGGGGTATTTACTGTCCAAATGAACATGGGGCACTGCTGCATGTTCTCTCATGTTGTCATGAAGGTTTGAAAGAAATATATGTTGTTGTTTTTAAAATTAAAAAAATGGAGATGGACATTGGCTTGCTGATGTGAGAAGTTTCCGATGTGATGGACTAGGTTCAATCAGAGATCACCACCACAGCACAGACACCAGGATTATGTAATGTGTTTTTTCCAACATACAATGAAACTCAAGCAAACTTGATTGGACAGCATATCAAAAGATCACCAGTAAGCTAATAGAGCGCAATAGCAATTCCGTCTTTTTGTAGACATTAACAGAGGCTAATTCCGCCATGGCTTGTTGGCCAAAGCCTATGGGGAAAGGCATGTTTTTATTTAGGGGTTTTGGATAAACACTGAAAATAAGGTCTGAGGAGAGCTTGTTGTATTAGATAATCTTCATCAGCTAACCACAGTGTTCATTTTCAGATTCCTATGCGTCTTTTGCAGTTAGTTATTTGAATTATTTGAACCCTTACGAAAAAAGATTGCAGTTAGAGTGCAGTATAAAATAACACTGTTTATTTTTTTACTACAGTAGTTTTGCAGTGTAACTGCAGTTACAGTGCAGTATAAATGTAGTTCAACTGCAGAACACTTCAGTTATTCTTTAATTACTGCATCCAAAATACCACAGTCGACTGTAGTTACTGCACTTTTACTGCAGTTTCAAAACTGCAATCTTTTTTTGTAAGGGCACTTTTTGTGAATTTTGAAGCATTTATGTCATCAAAACAAGCACATAAAGGCTTCATAATTCATGAAGGTCATGTTAACTGACTGATATTATCTCATAAAACCAAACGTATAAGATCTATTAATGCTATGTTAACCTCAGACCTTATTTTCTGCGTATATCCCAAAACCCCATTCTTTCCCCATTAATTTTCCTCATAGGAATGGCCAACAAACCAGAGGTAGAAAATGCTAACTCATTAAAACATTTTAGGACTACAAGCTGGTGAGCTCTATAGGGCCTACCAATACCCAATTGTGATTCACTTAGAAGTCAGTTTGAATGTACAGAGACAGTCTGTTTCCACATTAAATGATGCACTGATTGAAGGGTTTAGAGAGAGAGGAGGGTATTTTTTTCGGGTGTTGGTTGACCTCTTTAGAGTTTCTCTCTCTGGGTCTTGGAGCCTGTTCAGAGGCTGTCAGGGCCTGGGCAGATGAGTGTGTGAGAGAGAGGTGCTGCAGCCTCATTAGCAGTGATCAGAGCTCCTTACCAGCTCCTGTGGACACTAATGACTGAACAGTGAACAGTCGCCTCTCTGTTTCATTAATGAAGCCACCAACACAATTCAACAGACATCCCCTGCCACAACATCCAATGCCAGTCTGCTAACATACAAAGACTGAGGGAGTGGGATGATTTATGAAGCCCTGCAACAGGTGAATAAATAGAAAGCTTCATTCCAGGATGAAAAGTTGACTACATGATGACACAGTAAGCTGGCATTACAAGCAGAAATAGGACAGAAGTTATCAACTTTATAGATCAGATCATGTGCACTCATTTGATTGATACTGTAAGTACATTACTAAATGCCTGATTAAATTATTTTGCGTTAAACTACTTTTTTTCTGCATTGTCAGATTATCGCAAACATTAAATGCTAAGCAAAAAGTAATTGTGGAGAAATCCTTGGTAGTCTATTTATGAAACACCGAAGACAAGTGTGCCGACGTGAATGGACCTATCTTCTGGCACTGCCAGTGTGTGTTTTGTATGTACTGTAAGAGTGCACACTCTCCGTGTGTTTGTGTGAACGTGAGACTGCATGTGAATGTTTTTTTTAATGGTGAGAGGCAATACTGTATGTGTGCCTGTTTGTCATTGAGAGAGAGAGAGAGAGAGAGAGAGAGAGAGAGAGAGAGAGAGAGAGAGAGAGAGAGAGAGAGAGAGAGGAGAGAGAGAGAGAGAGAGTGTCTCTCTCACATGGTGCATGTCCTCTTTGGGTTGGCTCAGTGAACGCAGACTAATATGACCTGAATGTCCCCAGTTATGAACACAGAGCTGCCTCTCCTCCCCTGATGCGGGGACAATGTTTGTTTTGTTCTGTGGGAATATTGACGAGGGTTGGGGGGGAGCTCTCAGAGCCATTCACCCCCGTTGTCAAGGCAGAGGCCTGACAGAGAGCTTTGGCCCTCCGAGGAACACAAATTGATCTGAATCAGAGAGGCTGGCGCGGATCCTCAGCATGAACGTCCACACACACACACACACCAGTCCGCTCCGGACCCCGGGCCTCTATAGCCACCGGACTGGACCACCTTGTTCTCTTATACAGGAAGACCTGGTATGCCTCATTATTGTGATGCCAAGGAGTGACAAGAACAGAGCTTGTTGTCACAACTCGTTCGTATTCATGGCCAATTGTGGCTCAACCCAGAGAAGAAGGAGAGTAGAGAGGGAAGTAACTTCTATTCAGCTTTAGTCTGGGCCGTTCTGAGATCACCACTCTCATAGTACCTCTCTGGTACCCACAGTTCCTCCCCTCTCTGGGGTCTGGGTGCTTGGGAAGCCCTCCAAAACACCCCAACACAACTTCTTTACCACATTGGTCCTGAGATTTGCCATACACAAAGGCTTTACTTTACTTTGAAAAACAGCATTGAGAAAGGGGTGAGAGAGAGTGTTGTAGGGGGAGAACACACTCCCCATACTTGTGTAGTGTAAGCACGTTAGAACTTGCGTACTGGTTTAGGAGTTCTTGGTTTACAAATCCCTCTTCCATACCAGCCTTTGACTAAATCTAAAATGGCTATTTTTATATAATGAAATATACAGAGAAACAATACACAGGAACAACAGATCTCAAAAATCTACGATATGAAACTAAAATGTGTGAAAGTGCCAGTCAGTGGAATTAATTTTCCACAGGGCAGCATTGTGTGCAAAAGACAGAAGTCACATAATGGTCCGACCCGGTAGACTGCTCAGCCTGCTGCCGGGCTTTACTGCAGCAGTAGATAATCTCCAAGTGACAGTCCTGAGGTTACTAACCATGAATCCTGCTAAACTTCCTGTCTAATGCACAACCTCCAAAAATGAGCAAACTGCCCCCAGAATACTCATTATAACGCTGTGATCAGAAGTAGTTTAGACCACACACAGACACATTCAGACCATGTATGTGTTTAAAATAGTTTTAGAGGGAATGACTGCCTTATGTACAGTCGTGGTCAAAAGTTTTGAGATTCTTTAATTACTGCGTCCAAAATACCACAGTCGACTGCAGTTACTGCACTTTTACTGCAGTTTCAAAACTGCAATCTTTTTTTTGGAAGGGCACTTTTTGTGAATTTTGAAGCATTTGTGTCATCAAAACAGGCACATAAAGGCTTCATAATTCATGAAGGTCATGTTAACTGACTGATATTATCTCATAAAACCAAACGTATAAGATCTATCAATGCTATGTTAACCTCAGACCTTATTTTCTGCGTATATCCCAAAACCCCATTCTTTCCCCATTAATTTTCCTCATAGGAATGGCCAACAAACCAGAGGTAGAAAATGCTAACTCATTAAAACATTTTAGGACTACAAGCTGGTGAGCTCTATAGGGCCTACCAATACCCAATTGTGATTCGCTTAGAAGTCAGTTTGAATGTACAGAGACAGTCTGTTTCCCACATTAAATGATGCACTGATTGAAGGGTTTAGAGAGAGAGGAGGGTATTTTTTTCGGGTGTTGGTTGACCTCTTTAGAGTTTCTCTCTCTGGGTCTTGGAGCCTGTTCAGAGGCTGTCAGGGCCTGGGCAGGTGAGTGTGTGAGAGAGAGGTGCTGGAGCCTGACACAAGTATTGGTCTTCACAAAGTTCACTGCTTCAGTGTTATGAGATATTTTTGTCAGATGTTACTATGGTATACTGAAGTATAATTACAAGCATTCCATAAGTGTCAAAGGCTTTTATTGACAATTACATTAAGTTTATGCAAAGAGTCAATATTTACAGTGTTGACCCTTCTTTTTCAAGACCTCTGCAATCCGCCCTGGCATGCTGTAAATTAACTTCTGGGCCACTTCCTGACTGATGGCAGCCCATTCTTGCATAATCAATGCTTGGAGTTTGTCAGAATTTGTGGGGTTTTGTTTGTCCACCCGCCTCTTGAGGATCGACCACATGTTTTCAATGGGATTAAGGTCTGGGGAGTTTCCTGGCCATGGACCCAAAATGTCGATGTTTTGTTCCCCGAGCCACTTAGTTATCACTTTTGCCTTATGGCAAGGTGCTCCATCATGCTGGAAAAGGCATTGGTTGTCACCAAACTGTTCTTGGATGGTTGGGAGAAGTTGCTCTCGGAGGATGTGTTGGTACCATTCTTTTTATTCATGGCTGTGTTCTTAGGCAAAATTGTGAGTGAGCCCACTCCCTTGGCTGAGAAGCAACCCCACACATGAATGGTCTCAGGATGCTTTACTGTTGGCATGACACAGGACTGATGGTAGCGCTCACCTTGTCTTCCGGATGCCTCAAACAATCGGAAAGGGGATTCATCAGATAAATTGACTTTACCCCAGTCCTCAGCAGTCCAATCCCTGTACCTTTTGCAGAATATCAGTCTGTCCCTGATGTTTTTCCTGGAGAGAAGTGGCTTCTTTGCTGCCCTTCTTGACACCAGGCCATCCTCCAAAAATCTTCGCCTCACTGTGCGTGCAGATGCACTCACACCTGCCTGCTGCCATTCCTGAGCAAGCTCTGCACTGGTGGTGCCCCGATCCCGCAGCTGAATCAACTTTAGGAGACGGTCCTGGCTCTTGACACCTTCTTCACAACAATTGAACCTCTCTCCTTGAAGTTCTTGATTGTCTGATAAATGGTTGATTTAGGTGCAATCTTACTAGCAGCAATATCCTTTCCTGTGAAGCCATTTTTGTGCAAAGCAATGATGACGGCACGTGTTTCCTTGCAGGTAACCATGGTTAACAGAGGAAGAACAATGATTTCAAGCACCACCCTCCTTTTTAAAGCTTCCAGTCTGTTATTCTAACTCAATCAGCATGACAGAGTGATCTCCAGCCTTGAACTCGTCAACACTCTCACATTTTACATTTACATTTTAGTCATTTAGCAGACGCTCTTATCCAGAGCGACTTACAGTTAGTGATTACATTTTTTTTTATACTGGCCCCCCGTGGGAATCGAACCCACAACCCTGGCGTTGCAAACGCCATGCTCTATCAACTGAGCTACATCCCTGCCGGCCATTCCCTCCCCTACCCTGGACGACGCTGGGCCAATTGTGCGCCGCCCATGAGTCTCCCGGTCGCGGCCAGGTGCGACAGAGCCTGGATTAATCACCTGTGTTAACGAGAGAATCACTGACATGATGTCAGCTGGTCCTTTTGTGGCAGGGCTGAAATGCAGTGGAAATGTTTTTTGGGATTAAGTTCATTTTCATGGCAAATAGGGACTTTGCAATTAATTGCAATTCATCTGATCACTCTTCATGACATTCTGGAGTATACGCAAATTGCCATAATCAAAATTGAGGCAGCAGACTTTGTGAAAATTAGTATTTGTGTCATTCTCAAAACTTTTGACCACGACTGTATAGCCTACTCTCAATCACCAAGAAATGATCTGCGACCGGGAAGCTACTGCCCCCTGCTGTTCCCTCAATGCAACTCCTGCTTCAATAATATTATGTGGGTAGGCTTGGATCTTCTAAACTTGGATCTTCCCTTGAGGAAATCCTTTAGTAATAGTTTCAGAAAATAATATTCTGTGGGTTTTTTTGTTTAAGTGCCTAATAAAGTCCCTATAGGACTTTTGCTATTTTACTATTCAAAGGCAAGCCCTAACTGAGGACAGAGAGCAACATTCTTTAAAGGGCCAATCCGTAGTTGAAACAATAACAAAGCCTGTTTCGGTAAAAAGCTGAGGGATGCACCTGGAGAAATGTAGCCACTCTCAATTTCATAGACAGAGCTATGGATGCAAGGACTGACCATCAAATATATCAGAATTATAGTTTTAAGCATGTTTTAAGGCTATACAATGTTTATAAACATTGGAGTAAAATAAGCTTCTATTTTGGGTTCTGATGGGGCACAACAGTGGAACTAAGCTCATGAGACATTTATGATATATTCTTCAAGTATCCATCCAAAAAGTGATATAGCTACTGCAGATTGCGCCTTTAACCACAATGGTCAAGGTAAGTACAGTTCTCAGAGGTAACAGTTGAAGGAGCCACAGCTATTTTCCTCATTGACTGGAGTGATTAGAAATGAGAGGCACTTTTCCTCAGGTTGTGATGAGTGCCGTGGCATGGATCTTTAATTAGAGAGCAACCAAAACAATAAGGTTTCTCCCACATTGATTCTTTCATATACATGAAACAGCCAGACAAACATACACACGACACCCCATGAAAAGCACCAACCATCATCAACAATCCAAAGCCACAGTGAGATGCTGTACTGTGTGGCAACAAGAATCATATGAATTCTGCAGACCATGTATAAAGTGGTTTTCACCATTGTTTTTTTGTTATCATAAGCAAGTCCTATTAAAAACACAATCAACTTAATTGAAACAATAATGTACAAACAGGTTAAAACAGATACAGTATTTACTATATTTGCCATAAAAATAACCATTTATAGTTCATTCTCAAAGGTCCCACAAATACTTATGCCCCAGCATGCAAACAAATAAGCAAAGATATGTTGTTGCTGTTGTCAATAATGACTTAGGTGAGGTTGGCCATGTAGGAGGCAATATAATAATCATAGACATGTACGTTTTTATACAAAATTAGATAGGAGCCTTCATCGTTAGTTCATCTGAAATTTCCAACACCTTGGTTCTATTGGCTGGCACCTGTAGAATCTCAATTTATCAAGGGGACTTCTTTATCACAGATTTTCAATTTCTAATGGGTTATTTATGATCATGTAATGACATGAAAACTGGCCAAATAGTATCTGTACATTACTGTACATAATGATATAAATCAATGACAGGAAATGGGGAAAAGAATATGCAAAAATCTAAACATTTACATTTTGTTGGTAAACCATGTGTTGCAGATATTGCTTGACCATTGACATGGTAATAGAAATTAAAACTGTCCATGTTGCTTAGTTGAAAGAAAATCTGCCTGCTGTTTCTAAACTACCAAAAGTGTGTCAGGACGACCGACAGACAGAGAAGATGAGATATAACGTAAATGTATATATAGATATATATTCACAACAGAGATTACATCAAGGGCATCTTTAACAGCGCCTCCCATTAGCCTTTAAAAGACAGAGTAATGGAGAGACTTGTGCAAACTCCAAGTATTTCAATCAAATGTTGTAACACTCCCCCTTCATAAAAGGTACATCCTGTACCATTTAAGTCGGGCGCTGTTGTTGGGAAGTAATACGACTATGGTCTAAGACAGGGGCTCCCAACCAGGGGTACTTGGCCTATCCACAGCTAGTACTTCAAGACTCATGAGACCATAGGCTTACTGGTAAAATGCACATGAGGGGGTACTTCAAGGGTACTCTGGGCAGAGCAAAATTCAGTTGGTGGTACAGTAAGCGAAAAAAAGTTGGGAACCACTGGTCTAAGACATGAATACGGTTTGAAATGTGATAGTGTGGTAAAGTTGATTTTGAAGCTGCTAAGTGATGCAGTGTTCAGACTCCAGTCTTTTCTACCTATTGGGAACAGAGGTTATGTAATGTACAGTACTCTGCCCTGTCTCTGGATCAGTTGAATATAAACCTCAATATCAACAGAGATGATGAAGTATGACATATGAACATCAGGGCAGCTAAGTACCACTTTATCCATCAGAGGTCACAAGAAGTGTTATATTACAAAAAGAAAATGAACACTGCAAGTAAAACGTTTCCAGGCACCCTTCAGGAGAGTGGAATCAGGCGGGGGGTCTTGGCGGGAGAGGGCCATCCAAAGAAAAGGGGGAGTATGGAAAAGCTGGGGAGGACAGACGGCCAGGTGAAATGGGACAGGTGCAGGCCTGTGGGGCGGTCTGTGTCGTGAGAGGAGGTTCTCATGAAGTGCTCCGCTTGATTCTGGAGTGCTGGATCAGCCACTGTAGTGTGATATCTGGAGGTGAAATAACAAATAACAGGTGTTTAAATGCCATGAAATACATTGGAAAACTAAGGTAACATTTTCTGTGATATAAGATATAACAAGTCAAAGACATCAGATGCTTACCAATGTTGTCCTTTTCCTTGCAGGAGATGGAGTAACAGCAGATCTCTCTGTCTTGTATGGCCGAGAGGTTCCTGTGGACCACAGAGGAGACATGAGCATTTCAAACACAGACGGACACAGAGACAGAGACACACAGAGCTGATGCTTACATTCTCTCAATCAGCTCCTTCTCGTCCAGCGCCCCAGGAAGATCCCTCTTATTCCCCAAGACAAGAACCTGTGAGGGGGAAACAATATTTGTTTAATATTTATTTAGGCAGGGGGAGTCCCATTGAGACCAAGGTCGGTTTTTAATAATAAATAATAATAATAATATTATTATTTATTATTAAGGGAGCCCTGCATGACAAGACCAAGCAATTACACAATGAAAGCAAGAGAATAGCGTATGGAGAGTTGGACAAAGTCCAGTAGTAGACCTACTATTATAGCTACTAGATCAGCTAACTCTGTATGGGGTTACTCACAGGAATACCTTGGAGCTGGGGCTTGTCCAACAAGTTGTGTAGTTCATTCTTAGAGGCCTCTGTCTTTTCTGGGTCAGCTGCATCAACCATGTACCTTACAAATTATATGGTTTCAAAAGTTACAATACATTTCTTTATTTGAAATAAGCTACCAATATAATTGAGCACTCCCAGCACAAGGGAGTGGGAGGGTGCTGTTACTCACACAATGGCACTGACTCCACGACAGTATCGCTCCCACATGCTCCTGAATCGAGGCTGACCGCCGATATCCCACAGCTAAGAAGGAAGAGTTCAAAACATCAATACAGCATTGATACTGCATAGCTAATCAGTTTTGAACCTTTCACAATGAATAAAATAGCTTAAGTGGGTCACAGTAAATCACAGGGACCATCCAAGATCACCCCTTCCACTTCATACTCCTCCCTCTGGAGCAAACAAGAAATGAATCAAGAGATGAATCAAGTGATGACCATGAAGTGGCCTAACCTCTAACCTGGCAGTATACGGACCTTGATGGTGACGTTTCCCTTGGTGATCTTCCTCATGTTGAAGCCCACTGTGGGAATCATGTCTTCACTGAACTGGCCCGACTGCAAGCAAGGGGAAAGAATAAAGGTGGGTTAAATTTATGTTATGTTCAAATCATCTGGGCCCAGTTTTTCAAAAATTATCTATCTGGATTTCGCCTATCCGATAGGATTAACTGCATAGAAATAGAATGAATAGAACAGTTGACTCATTGACTTAAATGGGGACTCGTTCTATTAATTATATTTCTATGAATTTAATAGTATTCGATAGCCGAAATCAGGATAGATAACTTCTTAAAAACGGGGCCTGGGAACTAGCTATAGTTAATAAAATATTACTGAAATTGTGAAATATGTTAATGTTGCTAATAAAACTGTCATCCTAGTCAATTCCGGAAAGAGAGAAGACACAGACAAGATTGAATGCACAACAAGTGAACTGAATTAATACACCTGATTGTCTTGACTTAACAGATGTGATGATGAGTGATGATGGACTAACGTTATACTGCTACATGCCTCATGTGTGCATGTTGTCGTTAGCTAACCAAGCTAGCTAGGGTCATCACCGCCCGAGCATGTCTGGGACCACACAGAGGCAGCTAGCTAGCTTCCTCGCTAAACTAGCTAACTACTGTATCATTACAAAATATCAGATTACAGAAACACGATTGAAACATATAAAATGGTTATGATAGTAGAAGCTAGCTAGCTGCTTAGCTAACATAACTTGCATCGCTGGAGCACGAGTAAGCATCTCGATCTGTTTAACAACAATGGACACCATCAGATGACAGCAGATTGACCGTACCGCGATCACGTTTACGAAGGTTGTCTTGCCCGAATACTGGAGTCCCACCAATGTCAACTCCATCTCCTCCTTCCAAAACAGTGCTTTGATCCAGTCAAGGAGCTTGTTGATCAATGCGATCATCCTGGGAGCGTTGTGATGGCACTGCTACTGGAACTGGAGTTTGCTAGCCTCCTAGCTAGCTAACGTTAGCTACAAGTTGTCTAGCTAGCGCTAGCTATCTAGCTTGCAGTGACAACACAGGGTACAGAACGTATTATTAACGGTCGAATAACGTGCCTATAATGAATATTCACTAAATAATATGTTTTGCGCAACGTGTTAGCACTATTATTTTAAGTATGTTTTAGTTATCTGCCTTGTTTACTACAACTCCTTCCTCCCTGTCTGTCTTTCCTGCCTGATAAGGGTCGTCACTAGCTAATACAGCCACAAAGTCATAAACCCCGCCCATTTATAACATTTATCTTCTTAAAATGTGATTTTAAACCTAACCTTAACCCTAACCTTAACCACACTGCTAACCGTATGCCTAACCCTAAACTTAAATTAAGACCCCCCCCCAAAATTGTTTTCATTAATTTTTACGATACAGCCAATTTTGACTTTGTGGCTGTGGTAACTAGTGGAAACCCCTGTTAAGGGTTGTTCTTCCTCATTGGGTGCGGTTTCAGAATCACATCAGCCACAAATAGTTATGCAAATCTTTGCATCAGCGTCTCATCAGCAACACTAAAAAAGTACTTCTGGGTCACGGAATTTCGGATTTTCTGTTTTTTGCGTGTCGCAATATCAAATCAAATCAAATGTTCTTCGTCAAATGCGCCGAATACAACAGGTGTGACCTTACCGTGAAACGCTTACTAACAAACCCTAACCAACAATGCAGTTTTAAGAAAAATAAGAGTTAAGAAAATATTTACTAAATGAACTAAAGTAAAAATAAAAGAGCAACAATAAAATAACAATAACGAGGCTATATACAGGGGTACCTGTGCGAGTCAATGTGCTGGGGTACAGGTTAGTCGAGGTAATTGAGGTAATATGTTCATGTAGTTAGGGGTAAAGTGACTATGCATAGATAATAAATAATAATTAGTGCCTTCCTCTGACACTGCCTGGTATAGAGGTCCTGGATGGCAGGGAGCTTGGCCCCAGTGATGTACTGGGCCGTACGCACTACCCTCTGTAGCGCCTTGCGTTCGGAGGCCGAGCAGTTGCCTTACCAGGCGGTGACGCAACCAGTCAGGATGCTCTCGATGGTGCAGCTTTAGAACTGTTTGAGGATCTGAGGACCCATGCCAAATCTTTTCAGTATCCTGAGGGGGAATAGGCGTTGTCGTGCCCTCTTCACGACTGTCTTGGTGTGTTTGGACCATGATAGTTTGTTGGTGATGTGGACACCAAGGAACTTGAAGCTCTCAACCTGCTCCACTACAGCCCCGTCGATGAGAATGGGGGCGTGCTTGGCCCTTCTTTTCCTGTAGTCCACGATCATCTCCTCTGTCTTGAACACGTTGAGGGAGAGGTTGTTGTCCTGGCACCACACTGCCAGGTCTCTGATCTCCTCCTTATAGGCTTTCTCATCGTTGTCGGTGATCAGGCCTGCCACCGTTATCCTGTATTTATTCATTAAATATGACAAATAGTTGTCTAAACAATGATTCACATTTGTTCATATTTAAGTGACATTTGCATTCAAATTTGTTCCAAGGTCAAATAAATGGCCACAATGTGAATCAATGTACATGGAATACATATTGGTTTATAGAGCAAAAATTATTCTGGGTGCCACAGTAAAAGTATTGTAGGGAATACTCAGTAGGGTCTGTAGAATGTATATATGATATCATTTGAATAATAGAGAGTGTTTTTGGCCTTTTACTCCATCCATTCCATTGGCCACGATGCGAATCACTGTATATGGAAAGCATATTGGCAGTGGAAAGCATATTGGCAGCAATGTCTTATTCAGAGCTCCATGAAACGACACCACATATAGATTCTACAGACCCTACTTAGTACTCCCAACCCCACTTTTATATCAGCACATATAATCGTTTTTTCTCTATAAGGCAATATGTAATTTATAGGCCTACAGTGTATTGCATTGGGAGCAATGGAATGAGTGGAGTAGAAAGGGCTGCTGGGTATTTAGACCACAGTCAGAAATAACACCATATACTGTATAGACTCTAGTGCTAGATCAATAGGGTCTGTAGCATATTATGTTCTTTACTTTCATTTACTTAAGATCCAGACATTTCTCAATGTGCTCCACCTTATAATATTATGTATCTTATATAAAGTAGAAATTCTCTTTAGTTTAGATTTATGTAGTTATCATTTTGTAACACTATTTTAACATTATGCACTATGCAAAGCTGCAAAAATGATTGTTTTCGTATCATATGCATAGCGTTTTACGTCACACTTTTATTTTGAAGGCAAAATCGGAAAACCGGAAGTCTCAATGTTGCTGCCGGGATACTAATGTTGCTGCTATGATGCTAATCAGAAAAACCCAGTGAGAGGAGTGCTCGATAAAGAGGGTACTCTCACTTCACGAGACTTGCCCTCTGCTGGAGAGAAGGGGATCGTTACTGTAGCTCTTCTGTATTTCACTTTCTGTTTTACATATCAAAATGTATTGATCAATTATATTTACCATATCAAAATGTATTTATTAATCAATTACCAAATCAACCTGGAACCTGGAAAAACAAGAAATAATAACCTACTATGTATTTTTTCTTCAGCATGTCAAGTGGACTGCAATTAATTAAAGTCAAGGGCATAACATATTTATTATCATGGTAGCAAATATGGACAAAATTATTATTAATGAATTTCAATACAATTCCAACCAGTACCATGTGCCCATAAAAATGCCACAATAACTGTCACGGTCAAGGGGATGAGATGGCCACAGCCAGTATATGAGCAGAGTTCCAGAAGCGTGTTCTCCCATGCAGAAAGACACGAGTTCCAGAAGCGTGTTCTCCCATGCAGAAAGACAGAGTTTCAGCTGGGCTTTCTCTGTCACCGCATTTCCCCTGTAGTACTGCTGGTCTGGACAGGGACAGGGCTCTCTGAGCCACTGTCTGTGTTCACCAGCTGCCGACTGTACTGAGCCAGGGTGAGGTACAGGAACTGGTACTGCTCACTGGTCTCTATCATACCACCCCTGACAACACAACACAAACAATCAATCAATCACATTTATTTTATAAAGCCTTTTTTACATCAGCAGTTGTCACAAAGTGATTTACAGATACCCAGCCTAAAACCGCAAAGAGCAGCATCCTTTAGGGCAGCATCCCCAAGCTAGGGACAGCTCTGCGTCTAAGATCCCTATGACAACTGCACTTTTAGTTTACTTGATAGAGTTTGGTTGAAACGTAGCAGAGCAGTGTGTAGTGGCTAGTACCTGTCGAGGCGTAGCTTGCAGACGATTCCAAGCACGTCAACCTTACTGGCGTGTTTTAGCTGCAGGCATCCAATGCTGCTGGCGATGAAACAGCCGGTTCTACCAATCCCTGCGCTGTAATAGAGAGGACATGACAAATTACGTCAAATAGAGTCGCAGCATAAAAGCACTGTCTGACTCTAAGCTGATCCCCCTGGCACCTTTTTCTACTGTTTACCCCTTTTTAAAATATGAAACAAACGTGAAGGCAGTCTACACAGAGGCCTTCGTTGTAAACACACAGACAGAGAAACATGTGATGGAGACATTGGAAATACAAAGAGACTCCAGAAAGCGGTCCTAACTTAGCAGGGCAGAAATTTGACAAACTGACTTGTTGGAAAGGACATGTATTTATTCTCCAGTCTCTGCTACAGTATTTGCCTGCAATACACAGTCCACATACAGTACGTAACACAAAATTAATTCCATAGCAGTCACCTTTGTCGTCAGTAAGTGAACTCAATCTAGTAACCCTAAATTATTGTTGTAATAGTTTAATTCTGACTGACATGGTATGTGAAATGAGTCTCCCTTAGGTGTCATAACATACACTACATGACCAAAAGTATGTGGACACCTGCTCGTCAAACATCTCATTCCAAAAATAATGGGCATTAATATGGAGTTGGTCCCCCCTTTGCTGCTATAACAGCCTCCACTCTTTTGGAAAGGCTTTCCACTAGATGTTGGAACATTGCTGTGGGGACTTACTTCCATTCAGGCCCAAGAGCATAAGTGAGGTCGGGGCACTGATGTTGAGCGATTAGGCCTGGCTCGCAATCGGCATTGTAATTCATCCCAAAGGTGATCAATGGGGTTGAGGTCAGTGCTCTGTGCAGGCCAGTCAAGTTCTTCCACACTGATCCCAACAAACCATTTCTGTATGGACCTTGCTTTGTGCACGGGGGCATTGTCATGCTGAAACAGGAACAGAATAATCTAGAATGTCATTGCATGCTGTAGCGTTGAGATTTCCCTTCACTGGAACTAAGGGGCCTAGCCCGAACCACGAAAAACTGCTCCAGACCATTATTCCTCCTCCACCAGGTAACGTTCTCCTGGCATCCGCCAAACCCAGATTCGTACGTCGGACTGCCAGGTGGTGAAGCGTGATTCATCACTCTAGAGAACACGTTTCCACTGCTCCAGAGTCCAATGGTGGCAAGCTTTACACCACTCCAGCTGACGCTTGGCATTGCGCATGGTGATCTTAGGCTTGTGTGGGGCTGTTCGGCCATGGACAGCCATTTCATGAAGCTCCAGTCGAACAGTTCTTGTGCTGACGTTGCTTCCAGAGGCAGTTTGGAACTCGTTAGTGAGTGTTGCAACCGAGGACAGATTATTTTTACGTGCTACGTGCTTCAGCACTCGGCGGTCCAGTTCTGTCAGCCGTTGTTGCTCCTAGACGTTTCCATTTCACAATAACAGCACTTACAGTTGACCGGGGCAGCTCTAGCAGGGCAGAAATTTGACGAACTGACTTGTTGGAAAGGGGGCATTCTATGATGGTGCCACGTTGAAAGTCACTAAGCTCTTCAGTAAGGCCATTCTACTGCCAATGTTTGTCTATGGAGATTGCAAGGCTGTGTACTCGATTTTATACACCTGTCAGCAAAGGGTGTGGCTGAAACAGCCGAATCCACTAATTTGAAGGGGTGTCCACATACTTTTGTATATATACTGCATAAACATGCTGGAAGCGTGAACCGTTCAATTAGCCTATGACTATTTTCTTTTCAAGGACACATTTATCACAGTGATAGTTAATGACAGCTAGTGTTAAGGGTTGTGTTAATGAGAGTCAGTGTTAAGGGTTATTTTAGTGGGACCTGCAGTGGACGATGGTGGTTCCTAGGCTGGGGTGGGACTGCCTGTGCTCCTCCACATCTGCCACCAGTCTGAGCAGAGGCCCAGTGCAGTCTGGGGTCTGGTGGTCTGGCCATGAGGTGTACCAGTAGTGCCTTACCTGCCTGCTCTCTGAGCCCACCTGTTGGACACATTATTGTTAGTAAGTTATCTGCTTCATTCGTTCATCCATCCCTTCATTAATTAATTCAGTAGTTTTGAAGTTCTGAAAGTTGTGTAACCCGGCGCTTTGACTGGCATTATGAGATTACTGTACAGACAACAATAACCTACTATCTCACCTGAATAATTATGTCTCGAATTGTGTAGCCATCACATTCTTTCACAATGGCCACTCGGAGCTCAAATCTGCCACAGCTGCCCTCCTTCTCTGGCCAGTAAAGCTCACACTTCTGAAACACAGAACACACTTTCTGTAGACTTCAGACATGAATCAAAGTCTCTTACAAGGGTATTATAAACCATCCCTGCTTTACCACCAATGGATCCGTCAAAGGAAACCCTTAAGGAGATAATAGTTTTTTGACTCACCCGTGCATCAATCTAAGTAACATAATTTAAAAATCCCCATCAAAATCTATCAGTTTAAGCTAGAGATATCTGCTTTTTTGCATGGGCAGCGTCTCAATCCACTGCATGCGCCTATGTCGGCCTTCCACATCTGCGGTAGAAGGTGGCCGAGCTACAGCTGTGTTTGTCAGACCATGAGACATCCTGAAAATCGGTCTTCTCATGAAAACGTCAGTGCAAATTAACATGACCACTCTATGGAAAGATAAGACTCTCACAAAAACGATGGTGTTCTCGGTTTTGCTCTATGACCCCCACAAGCTCCACGGGACTCGTCTGAATTCGGTATTGCTGATGAGCCAACTTCTGTCCAAACCATTTGGGCTACAGACTAATATAACCCCACTGTGGAAAGGGGACTCTTGGAAGGTAACCCATACAAATGAATGGAAGTATGGGGGTATTTTTGTGCCCCCAGAAATAGGGAGTTAAATAAGCGCCCAAAGAAACTACAATATTTCCTAGATTTAGGACAAGCAATTCAAAACCTTATTCTTTATGATTTATTTTTTGACTGTCTTTTTTGCCATCTATTCATGTGTTATTCAATGTGTTTCTATGGGCTTTAGTAGGAAAGGCCAAATTCAATATTCTATCCCCCCAGAAATGTATATATATTAATTGTTTCATACCTAAAGGGGTCCTAAAATTCAAAATCAAATAGCTAAATTATCCATGGTATGACCACCTTAAAACAATTCCATATGTTAGCTTAGTAGACCTTCAGAGGTTAGGAGAGCAATGGAAGCAGGATGGGATCTTACCTCGTTCTTCTCCTTCAGCTTGGTGATCATGACGATGGTGGTGGATCTCTCCTGCCACACCATTTCCCAGAAGTCATGCACGGTGTTGAGCATGGGGCCCTGGGTGGCGATGTAGGAGCTGGGTGCACCGTTGTAACCCTGCGTGGGCAACAGCAAGATATGGGGCTGTGTCATTTCCACTTTGACTTCCTGTGGGTTTCCTTGGTTGACATAATGATACACCCACGCAAACCAACTGTATCACCCTCCACATCCTTAACATCCACTGTGCACTGTGTGTGTTATACTTTCACATGACCTTTTATATACCATTTTATGATCTTTTTGTATGACTTCATGTTCCACCTACTTACACTTCTTCATCCCCATAAGGCTAGAATGACTTTAAAGTTTGCTTAACTTAAATTAAAATAGAAACCAATGGCCCTCTTAATAACAGATGATTCTAACCTTTATGTAGTTTGCGTTGATGTATCTCTCAGTCTCACCCGTCTCCTCTGCTGCGGGGTTACTCAGACACACACGGGTCTCAGGATCTGGTTAACAAGATTATACTTTATACATCGGTTAGTATATTGCCTGGGTGTCAGTGTGTTTCAGCATTCATCAACTTATACTTAACATTTTACCTAGTCACTTACTTGGCAGTATGGTCTTGTATCTGTCTTTTAAAGCACGTCCTGGGATATCCAGCTCTGAAGGGTTCACAAAGTTTGGAGGAATTTTCTGTTGGAAGGAATGGACAGGTTTAAGGTCCAGATTCAACTTGATCCTGCATGCAGTCAATTGTCTGCACATAGTAGCAGTTACAGTAGATACCGACCTGGTACTCTGAGTTCAGCCTGCTGGTCTCTTCAGACGCCTCCTGCAGCTGAGAGGGGGTCAGAGGGCGTGTTGAGGTCCTCAGCAGGTGGAGGATGGTCTCTCTGGGAGTGGAGATGGAGCACAAGGGCTCCACCGCTCCCAGGCTGAGACTGCTCACATCCAGCACCAGGGACACACTAGAGCCCCGTCTGAGGATGAACGGAACCACAGAGAGGACAAAACATCAGGGACTCTATTGCATTTACATCATTTTTCACTTATAGTTTATCATGGCCATAATGACGGTACCGTGAGTTGAATATCATGGATGTGTGTACCTCTCCTGGAGCTGGACTGGTCTGCGAGGGGCTGTGGCAGCAGGGCAGGGGGCTGACTGGTCTTCGTCTACAGGGTGTGATGATGATGATGTGGATTCTACTGACTCACTCATGGTGCTGTGTTGAATTACTGAGTGAAATGAGTGAAAACGGTCCCAATAGAGAGAGAGAGACAGAGAGAGAGAGAGGGAGGAGAGAGAGAGAGAGAGAGAGAGAGAGAGAAGAGAGAGAGAGAGAAGAGAGAGAGAGGAGAGAGAGAGAGAGGAGAAGACTAGGAGCGAGTGATGAGAGGGACTGAGACGATAGAAGATGGGAGTAGAGAGTTAGGTATCGAGATTTCTCTCCCGGACTGAGCTTAGGGGGGTAGAGCGAGGGAACGCGCTAGAGAGCAGGAAGAGAGAGGAGAGAGAGAGAGGGGCAACGAGGGGGGTGCTATATCTAGAGGAGGGGATTTATATCGATGAGTAGAGGGGAGGGAGGGAGAGCGAGAGAGCGAGAGAGAGACAGAGAGGGAGGGAGCGAGCGAGAGAGAGAGGGGGAGGGAGGGAGATAGATCACATTATTTCCTTATTATACCTACACGGTGAACACACCACAACAGCAATTAAATTCAGATGGAATTAAAAATATTTTACCCTTCTTGTCAACTCTTCTTGTCAAAAGAAGAGCAGTTAATGAAAGATCTCACATCCCCTGAAACTGACATTCACAACACATGACACTCAATAGTGAAACACCATTGACTAAACATTTCTTTTTCAGATCATCAGACATTATTTATTTCCTTTGTTGCCAGATTGTGGCTAAACTGGATCTATCCATACCTGAATCCTGGTCTGTCAATATGTCAGAATAATCCAAAGCCAAATTAAATGTCTGCCGTTGACATGAAACAACCACATTTAGAAACAGAAAGCGAGAGAGAGAGAGAGAGAGAGAGAGAGAGAGAGAGCGAGAGAGAGAGATAGAGAGAGAGAGGGAGAGAGAGAGAGGGAGAGAGAGGCAGAGAGGGAGAGAGGGAGAGAGGGAGAGAGAGGGAGAGAGAGACAGTTAAAAGTAGAGAGTGAGCAGGCACAGACACGTAGTCATTTTGACACAGTGACTCAGTATGTTACTAGCTAGCCTCTTCTTTGGCTTCAGGTGCACATGTCTAAACGTGAGAGTGGATCAATCACTGAGAAGTTCCTGGAGGGAAAAGAGGAGGGAGAATATTGTAAAGCTGGTGTTGTAAAGCTGGTATTGTAAAGCTGGTGTTTTAAAGCTGGTGTTGTAAAGCTGGTATTGTAAATGTCACGACTTCCTCCGAAGCTGCCTCCCCTCCTTGTTCGGGCAGGCTTCTGCGTTCATCGTCACTGGCCTTCTAGCCACTGCCCTCCATATCTCATCATTCCATTTGTCTTGTCTTGTCAATTACACACACCTGGTTCATATTCCCCTCATTAGTACATGTATAAGTGTTCCCTCTGCCCCCTTGTCCTTGTGGGTGATTGTTTCATGTGAGATGAGTGTAGCATCGGTGGAGCTACCTGTACGTTGTATTGCCGGGGTATATTTTCCCTGTGTGCCTGTATTTTGTTCCAGTGCGCCTGTTTTGCACACTGGACTGTTGACGTTGTGCAGCGTAACTGTGTACTACGCAATCAACTCTGTATTCTGTGATTTACCCTCCTGGGCCTGACTCCTTAAAATCACACTCTCACAGTAAAGCTGGTATTGTACAGCTGGTGTTGTAAAGCTGCTATTGTAAAGCTGGTCTTGTAAAGCTTGTATTGTAAAGCTGGTGTTGTAAAGCTGGTGTTGTAAAGCTGGTCTTGTAAAGCTGGTGTTGTAAAGCTGGTGTTGTAAAGCTGGTTTTGTAAAGCTGGTGTTGTAAATCTGGTGTTGTAATGCTGGTCTTGTAAAGCTGGTCTTGTAAAGCTGGTGTTGTAAAGCTGGTGTTGTAAAGCTGGTGTTGTAAAGCTGGTGTTGTAAAGCTGGTTTTGTAAAGCTGGTGTTGTAAAGCTGCTATTGTAAAGCTGGTGTTGTAAAGCTGGTGTTGTAATGCTGGTGTTGTAAAGCTGGTGTTGTAAAGCTGGTTTTGTAAAGCTGGTGTTGTAAAGCTGGTGTTGTAAAGCTGCTATTGTAAAGCTGGTGTTGTAAAGCTGCTATTGTAAAGCTGGTTTTGTAAAGCTGGTGTTGTAAAGCTGGTGTTGTAATGCTGGTGTTGTAAAGCTGGTGTTGTAAAGCTGGTGTTGTAAAGCTGGTGTTGTAAAGCTGGTTTTGTTGGGAATAGGTGAATCAGTAGAGTCATTCCTCAATGACTCCAGGCTAAAGGCAGCTGCAAATATGCATGTAAAATCTGGCAATGGTTTATTCATCATACTGACATAAATGTTTGCACATAGTATATTTGCTGATTAAGTCCTTGAAGCGACATTGTATGACCCAAGTAAATGAACTATAGACAGAGAAATATTCTCAGATACATACAGTGCCTTCAGAAAGTATTCACACCCCTTGACTTTTTCCAAATGTTGTTGTGTTACAGCCTGAATTTACACAATACCCCCATAATGTCAAATAATAAGTTGCATGGATATTGTTTAACATGATGTTTGAATGACTACCTCATCTCTGTACCCCACACATACAACTATCTGTACGATCCCTCAGTCAAGCAGTGAATTTCAAACACAGATTCAACCACAAAGACCAGGGAGGTTTTCCAATGCCTCGCAAAGAAGGGCACCTATTGGTACATGGGTCAAAATAAAAAAAAGCAGACGTTGAATATTCCTTTGAGCATGGTGAAGTTATTAATTACACTTTGGATGGTATATCAATACACCCAGTCACTACAAAGATACAGGCGTCCTTCCTAACTCAGTTGCCATGAGCCAATGGTGACTTTAAAACAGTCACAGAGTTTAATGGCTGTGATAGGCGAAAACTGAGGATGGCTCACTCCACAATACTAACCTAATTGACAGAGTGAAAAGAAGAAATCCTGTTTGCAACAAGGCACTAAAGTAATACTGCAAAAAATGTGGCAAAGCAATTCACTTTTTGTCCTGATTAGAAAGTGTTATGTTTGGCCCAAATCCAATACAACACATTACTGAGTACCACTCTCCATATTTTCAAGCATAGTGGTGGCTGCATCATATTATGGGTATGCTTGTAATCGTTAAGGACTGAGGAGTTTTTCAGCATAAAAAAATAAATGTAATGGAGCTAAGCCCAGGCAAAATCCTAGAGGAAAACCTGGTTCAGACTGCTTTCCATCAGACACTGGGAGATTAATTCACCTTTAAGTATGACAATAACCTAAAACACAAGGCAACACAAGGCCAAATCTACACTGGAGTTGCTTAGCAAGAAGACAGTGAATGTTCCTGAGTGGCTGAGTTACAGTTTTGACTTACAGGTAAATCTACTTGAAAATCTATGGCAAGACCTAAAAATACAAAGATCAACAACGAATTTGATAGAGCTTGAACAATTCTGAAAAGAATAATGGGCACATCTTGCACAAGCCAGGTGTGGAAAGCTCTTAGAGACTAACCCAGAAAGACTCAGAGCTGTAATCACTGCCAAAGGTGCTTCTACAAAGTATTGACTCAGGGGTGTGAATACTGAAGTAAATTAGCTATTTATGTATTACATTTTTTCTACATTTGCGAACATTTCTAAAGACATATTTTTATTTTGTCATTATGGGGTATTGTGAGTAGATGGGTGAGAAAATAAATCTATTTAATCCATTTTGAATTCAGGCTGTAAAACAACAAAATGAGAATACTTTCTGAAGGCACTGTAAATAGCTTTCAAGTTTGATGTAGGCTTAAAAGCATTTTTAAGGAAAATATAAATAAACACTTCAGTGAGTATTGGAATATTAAATGATGAAGAGGTGATGTGTTCAATTATATAATTATTACATTTAGCACAACATAAAATATGTTAAGGAAGCTCAGAACATAAACGTACGCCGTACTGCAATGATGGAAGACTGAGCTGAAATCATGCATCAGTTTGGCTGACATGCTGCCTCAGACTGACCAGCGAGTCTTCCATGTTCTCGGCTAAAAAGGTGAAGTTAACTCCAAGTGATATGATGATGGGGAAAACAATATAACAAGCTGAAGACGATCTGTAGTTTATCTGCAGGTGTACAGTACAGTATACAAATGCCTCTTGGTTGTCACCATCACACTCTCAATGAGATAGGCCCAGCAGGTAACTCACCAGTGCAGGGTACTGCAATCAGAGTTGTCCCTCAGTATCTCCTCTCTTCTTGTGTACCTGTGTACTGTGTGGATGTGTGTTGGCCAAGGTCTCAGTCCAGATAAACCAGCAGTACAGACGCAGGCAGACTTGACACTTTGCTGCTTGGCTTTAGGGAAGATTATGAGACAAAACATTTTTTTTTCTTCCTTTTTCTACCTCTCCACCACTTCCTCTCTACCCACCCACCCACCCACTCTCTTATACTCTCACTCTAATTTCCACGCACACACATGCACGCACGCTAGTACATGCTTGTGCACGCACACGCACGTGCACACATACACACACACACACACACACATGCACACATTCAAGGCTGCCTCACCCCTGCAGACTCAGTGCCACTGGCTTTTGTGTAACCTCCAAGGACAGCACACTAACCTCAAATCTGAATTTTAAGTTGGCTATTATTTCTCTACAGCAGCAGGGGACCAATATCCACAATTACAACAATAAAACGATTGAGTGGATAATATACTATGTCAAATGTAAGAGCCCTGTTGCAAGCATTTTCTCATTTCATCACATTGTCTCCACAGTGAAAAAGTGAATAACAGTCACTGTGGGTGAAATGTCTAATGTTTATGAAACTGTAGTGAAAATGTGCATTGATGTGATGGAAACAGCTGGGTGACAAAGTAAATAACAGGGTTATTTTATTAATTCATTCATTTTATTTTGCCTTTATTTAACCAGGTAAGTAATTGATAAGACATTATCTTTTATAATAACAACCTGAAATACAACAACAATGTTGATGGAACACAGGCATCAGGCTTCTTACTGTAGAAATGCTGGGTAGTTTCCTATTATGTGAGGTTGATGTTGATTTACCACAGTAGAATGTGGGAATTTCAAGTAACAACCTGGTCGTCAATGCCAAGACAAAGAGAAAGGTGAGTATTACAGAAAGTTTATGGAACAAAACATTTAATAGTAAATTAAGCTCATAGTAACATGTTGGAGGTATTCACATTGGAGGTAGGCCTACAAGTTGATCCAAATAGATCGCCAGTACAGCACATGAAACTTGGTGAGGATGAATGAGCTTGCTGTAATAATGCTTAATTCTAACGTAAGCTCTACTATGCATCACCGTACGGCTATCACAGATGAGTCAGGCTTGTGGTGATTGCTACGTGGGTGGGAGGCTGGTCAAACGGCCTGAATCTGGTAACAAGGGTTTGAGCAAGCCACTTCCTGTCATGCCAATACAACACTTCCTCCTGTTAACAGAAATTCATTGGACTGCTTTAGTCACTAAACCATACAGTGTTCGTCAGCCATATGATAAACATGAATATAAATACAGTGCCAGAGTGTAAGACTGTATATTTATGAGTCCAGTGCCTTTATTGAGGAATACATCTCAAACACTTTTGCTTTGCCTGGATAGATTCAATAAATCGACTTGGGCCTACTGAAAGATACTGTGAGGCAATACGTGAGTAATCAATCATTCACATGATGTGAAAATGTGAGCTGCAGCAATGAAGCTACTGTTCAACCTGTAACCTTTAACATTGCTCTGTACAGTTGAATGGAGGTCCATACTGGCCATTGCATGATGACGATATGTGTCCTTTTATGTCTCCTCCCACGCAGGCCAGGCAATGACACTCTGAATGTGATGCGGATGTTTTGCTTGTCTTTTTATTTCCTACT